CTTGACCACTGTTGGGCTAAAAACCAAATGTTCATAATTGAAAGTCTTTTTTTACTGGAATGATGCATTTAGTGGTGAAAATAATTAACGAGACATACAATCAGTTTCATAGAAAAATCTTTGACATGTTTTAGTCTTGGACAATACTTTGGGTGCTGTAATAAATCCTGCATATCTGATAATCATGTGATCAGTATTTTTTATTCTTTTTGTACCCGTCATTTTATATAAAAATCTCTTCCCTCTAAAAAAAGTATTTATCATATCTGGCAGATTTCTATGATGCTGTTGTATTACCTAAATAAGAAAAGCCTCAGCTGAACAGATTCATATGCATTGTCCTCTATTTATACTATATATAATTCTTCTTCTCAATATATTTCCATGAGTTTGTTTTTGACGTTTGAGTTCCATGTTGTTGACGATAAACTCCAGAATGTTTTTTCATATAAAAGAGCATTGACGTCTTCATGTGTATAAAATATTTACCGTATTTGACGGCATATAAGACGCACCCTTATTTAGACGGCCACACACAAGGGAAAAAAGTTTCAATAGCGTGGTTTCTGTTAGTTCTCACGTTTCGTAAAAGCCAAATAAACAATTATTGAATGTTAATTAATTAACTTTTTTGAGATCAAATTTAGGAAAAAAAGTGCGTCTTATATGCTGTCAAATACAGTATGTGATTCTTGTTATGTATTTCTAAATTTTCCTTCAGAATCTTCCTTATCTATGAGAATCCTAGGACCAAATTTAATTACAGTGCAGTGTAATGGAGAGAAGGCATTTTTATATACTACATATAGCTCATTTACCATTTCCCGAATAATTTAAGTCAAGCAATCTTTTGATGTTTTGTGCAAAGTAAAAAAAAAAAATAATATTATCAATTTTTAGTGTAACAAACAAACAACAAAACAAAAAAAAAAAGAGAGAGAGAGAGAGAGAGAAAGTAAAAATTGCAAAGCAAGACTAATTTTTTTTTTTTTTTTTTTTTTTTTTTTTTTTTTTTTTTTCAAATTACTTGATTTTAAATAAAAGTTACATTTTTAAAGGAGAAAGGCAACTGCATTATTTATCTTGTGAGAAATGCATCCACTTGCATATTCTGTTAGATAACTTCTAAATTTTCATTTTACTTTTAATTAAATTGTAATTATTGTATCAAATATTTTAATTAAGCATCCAAATTTATGGTAGTTTTTTTAATTATTATTATATCCAATGGCTAGGCAAAAAGTTACAAAGAACTAAAATCTTATAAACAGAGGTTACAAATAATAGAACTAAGAACAAAAAGACTGAATCATTGTCTAAAAAGCATTCTTGCCTCCCAGTATCTTGACTCTTCTGTAAGACCACAAAGAGCTCCACTTCAAAGCAGGTGGTCCATTTTCTTCTTCAGAATCACAAAGTAGGCAAATAGGATCACTTGAAATGCCTATGTGGTGCAGGCAAGGCAATCATGTCCTGTAGACAGAGAGAAAGCCACAAATGCATTGCATCTTGGACTATCAGGAATAAGAGAAGGATTTAACATTCTCCAATATTTTAAGGCTGTACGAGTCTGAAGATTTCATAATCTATTATATGTAAATATTTTTTTAAGCAGTTTAATTCTCTAATGTGAAATGGATGTGTTAGGATGTTGTAGTAAGAGGGCACCTCTTTGTGAAAGGAAATCTGCTTGTTCATTGCTCAAAAAGCCACAATGGCCATTTATGGTAACTTTAAATTTCAGAAAATTAATGTAGTAATTGCTTCTAATAGTAAACTTCTTTACAAAGAAAATTGAAATGATCATGCATTAAAAATTTCAAAACAGGTTCTTCTGACAACTCTTCATGTGAAAATAAGGTTACCATCTTCAATCAGTAGAATTTAGCAAACTGAAAAATTCTTTCTTTCTGACAGTAATATGCAATTTTTCTGCCTACCTTCTGATTACTGTTAACAGTTCTAATAATGGAAGCAATATTTTGATTTTTCAAGACTAGTGTTATGTTCAGAAATAAATTGTTCAAACTGAATCTGTGCCAAATGCTGTTTTATGAAATATCTGGCCTGTTGCCTGAAATATTTATCCAAGGCAATACTGCCCTAGCCAGTCACAATAGTTTGCAGCTTGTTTCCTAGTAGCTGTGGATAGGAGTATATGAAAGGTGCAACTGGACTTCAATTACAAAAATAACTTAGTACACAACTGTGCAACAACTCAAATATTTTTTCATGCATGAGATAAAAGTATACTTGAAAACTGAATTGGTAGTACATGTTTTTTTTATTACTTTGAAAACTCGTGTGTATCATTGTTTCACAGAACACCACTTGAGAGACAATGCTTATCATACCAGCAAAAAAAAGTAAACTGTAGGACAAAAATGGTATGCAAGCTCTTACATAATATATTACGAATATATATATATGTGTGTGTGTGTGTGTATGTGCGTGTGTATAATATATGCAAAGGAACTTAGATATTATAGATCGTAGATCCATATTGAAGAAGAAGCATTCTAATTGCGTAGTATGCTAATGTGTTGAAAATGTAATATCTAAAAAACTTGGCAGTCGAGGCAGTTTTAATTCCATTTTTTATTATTCCGGTTGACATATGTGGCTACAATCACTTGGCACTCTAGTCATGCTATTCACAGAACATTTACATTTTTGATATTATTGCAATAGCAAGCAAGACAGTGAAATTACATCCTAGCAGGGTAGAGAGTGAAGCTGAAGTGCCTTGTTGTCCAATATTTAAACACATGAAGAGAAAAGTTTTGGTTTAAGTTAAAATATTTCCAATTATTACGCCATCAGCGCTGCACAGGCCATACAAAATGGAATGATCTAGAAATGATGCAATCGACAGAAGTTATTATGATTTTTAGAATGAGAGGGAGAATTAAGGAGTTTACCATTAGTTTAAATTATATTATTGATTCATATATTTTTTATCTTACATGCACACGTATATATATGTACAGTACAAAGTCCGAAATCCGAACTCGTCGGGACTTTGGCGATTCCGGATATTAGATCATCAGTTTAAATCTAGTAAGATGGCATGTAGAAATTATAAAAAAAATATGAAATTTGAGTTTATGAAATAATGAAGATTTATGATCTAAAGGGTATCAAAATTTTAAAAAAAAAAAGCTTAATATTTATTTGTTTTTTATCTTATTAAACATTTCTTTCAATGTAAGTTGTTTAAGTTGCTTTATTTTTTTGTGCTAATACTTTCTCTTTAATTCTGTAGACCGACGTAATATCTTGTTCAGTTACATTGTGTTGAAATCCTGTAACTGCTATTTGGAGAATTCCGACTAACTTGTCAATAAAAATTTTTTCGTTTTCAGTAACTTCTCTGTCATTTTCTTCACTATCGGTGGTGGTATTTTCTGGAGCTAGAACCATACTACAGATTTCACCATTCATTAACTGATTGATGATTTAGAAGCATTGTCGTCATAATGAAAAACTTCTTTTATATCATCTTCATTTATTACCGCTTCTCCTCATTTCTTTACAAAATCCATTAATTGGGAAATTTCACCTTTGTTTTGTGATATCCTCCAAAAAACTTTCAAATTTGCAGCTATCATCATCAAATTTAGCTATCCTTCACTATACATATTTGCTATGCATCATGCGCTTGGCGACTAATGACAAGTTGTTCCGTTAAATTTTATCTCGCTTCTATTGCGCACTGTGACAATTAAGCCTGAATTGTATTAGTTTAGTTATTTATTATACTTATGTCTATTTCTTGCACATGCTTTTAAGGCTTATCAGAGTTCTGAATAAATAAATTCCCACATATATTTAAGTCTTATTGACAGCTGGCGCTAGATATCTTACCACCTGATGCAGCCTGTGGTTCCTAAATTCTGCGACTCGGCGTGGCCATACGAGCCCTGGCACTGGTTCTGGGTTTATATGAATAATAAATCAGTTATTCTTAATTCAAATAGCCCTAAATGTAGTTTTTGGGTCTATGAGTATCCTCAACAAAATCTATTTTTAGCATTTTTAGCTAAGAAAGTTTTGGTAAAATTTCCTCATCAACATTTTTTAGTGCATTTAACTTAAATCTGTAATCATCGCCAAGCGATAAAAACGCTCATTGTCAACATTAAAGTTACCATGCTCCTTTTTACCATACCTTATTCAGTTACCAACATAAAAAAATTGTTTAGGCATCTCTACATGAGTCATTACTTAAGTTGTCATATTTTGATAAACATGGGGTGATGAAAGGAAAATATAATAAATAATGATTCACCAGATTGGCATCAGATCAATGATGTATCTATGTGGAATGTTTCAGTTAAAGATGTATGCCAAGTACATACACAGCAATGGAGCCAAATTACTGATGGTACAAATTTATGCTAAATTGATTGTTTCTTCAATAAAAAGGTATTTTATTTAGTGTCGAAGTGAAATTAAGAATCGGGACTCTCCGGATGTTTTATTATGAGCGGAGGAGGGAATCAAATGCGCATGCATAAAGCCTACAAGAAAAACTTTGTTGGTGGTTTTGAGGTCCGTATTTTAGATCATTCTGGATTTTGGACTTCATGCTGTATGTATGTATGTACATATGAGTGCACCATACACATACTTATTTTAGTCCACCTTCATATGTTGTGTCATTTCAAGGATTTTGAAAATTGTTTCTTCTGCTTTTAATTTTGAATAACTGTTTTAATTACTTGATTATTAATAATATGTATTAATTAGAAAATAAAAATTCCCCTAATGAATTTTATATATGTTATATTAAATATATAGGTATGCTAAAAATATGAAAACAGAGCAAAAATATCTTATATTCAAATCTGCTATGAAGATAAAAACAATAGGGAAATGTTTTACATTAAAAAAAGTCTGAAAAAAAACTAATTGCATAAAAATTTATTACTTTCTTAATGTTTTAGTTCCCTTACCCCAAATGTTTTTCTTTTTCTAATAACAACTTTTTCTCGTAGTTGAAAGAAGCCCTTGATTTGTTTGTTGACATGAAAAGGAATTTTGTACAACCTCTTCATCATCATTTTACATTTATGATTGGTGCATGTGGAAAATTTGGTTTTACAGAAATGGCTTTCAAGCTTCTTCGGCAGGTAATTAATTCCAAATGTATTTCAATTTTTTAAAGCATTTATGAACCTTTTATAAATTCTCAAATCAAATTTGATAATTCAGTGGCAATATTTTTGTAACATTAAAAGTACCAGTGTTAAATATGTGCATAGTTTTACTCTGTATGTCAGTTTGACAGTTAACTTATTTAAGTGTTAGAGGAACAAAAATAGCATTCAGTTGGATACTTTTTTTTTTAGCACCAAAGATGCTATTAGTCTCAATCATCATTTTTTTGTTTGCATCATTTTTCAAATAAAAGGATATTGCCACCAAATGTTATCATCATGTATTATTTTTAAAGAAATGCCATATTTCTTTGCATATTTTCCCTCTTTTTTAACTAATTGTATCATCTAAAAATTGAAAGGTGAAAATTATGTAAGTAATTTAATTTCTGAAGAATGTGGTTACAGTAAGAACATAACAAATGAAAAAAAGTCATATAGTATAAACTACTGGTAACTTTTTTAAAAGAAACCTACATTCCTATAAGAATACATAGTAATATTAACATTACAGTATCTGATTGATATTGAGTTGACATCTGACAGTAATTTATCTGGACGCACTGCACAAAACACAATATGTCCAGCTCATTTACCTTGTAAACCCTTGGCTATATCACATGAAAAAGGCTTAACTGCAGTTCCCAAGAGACACATCATAGGGAGGGAGCAAACAAAAGACCCAAATTTTGGAAGATCAAAAACATCAGCAGTAGATAAGGCTACAGTGAGTTTAAATGTATATAACAGAAACAAGGTAAAACCAGATGTTTGGAAAGTTTCTTAAGTGTAAGAAAACCTGCTGCATCTGGGTAACTTAACTGCAAATGCATTTCAAATGATAAAAGCAAGAGAAAATAAAATGAATGAAATGCTAATACAGAAATGGAAGTACAAATTTAATAAAAATAATCAAAGAAATACAGTTTACCAATAAACTAGCCCATGGAGGGAAAAATTGTGTGCAGTAAAAGAAGAGAAAATTGTGCAAATATTTTTAAAATTTTCAGAACCTAGTGCTAAAAAGGTAGGCAGGAAATATGTGAGAAAATACAGTAATATACAGTGAGTAGCAGTGTTAATATTTTTAATATTCAGGAATTTTAAACATATTTCATTTTTAAATATTTTATGATTTTGCTGTTGAAGATTGTGTGGCAATAAGTGTAAAGAAAGTGATGTATATTAAATAAAGTTAAAAAGACAAAAAATTAATAATAAAAAGATAAAAAAGTTATTAATAATTTTACTATGAAAACTGAACATTGATGTAATGACTGGAGAAAAGACTGAAAAAATTAATGGCAGCACTTACCTTAGTGTTGAGTGTTCTAAACATACGCAGCTTTTAAAATTTTTGTGATTTGACTGTTGAATTTTATTGGCTTAAGTGCGAAAACAGTTATTAGGTGTGACAAAAAATATCACATGAGACTTGCCAAAAGAGCTTGCTCATACTTGCCCATATCAGACGTGAAACTCAAAAACGAGTAGCCTCAGAACGTTGAAATGTTGCACATAGAACTGCTATAACATGTAGATGTGAACCTCGTATTTTGGTTGCAATCGGCCGCACCAAACGTATATAAATATATTTATATATATATCCACTCTGTTACCCGGCTTGGGGATCTCAGTTTCTTTACTCTTATATATTTGTAAATTGTACATTTTTTGCTTTAAAAATGATTGAATTATGTTGTTCTTATCTTCTGGTTAAGGTTTTTATGCCTTAAGGAAATCTGCAAGTAATATTTGTAGAATTATCAACAATTTAAAAGCTGTTTAAGTGTGCTTAAACCTAATTTTTAAATAACATAGCGGATATGTTTGTTTACATTTGAAACAGCAGAATAGTAGATCTGTTACCAATCTAGAGAGACTAAGCTTCGCAACAACAAAGATAACGCCTTCATTTATTATTGCAAATTAAATCATGCTTAATCCTTTCTGGAATTTTTTCAAGGAAATAAGTATTTATGATTTACTTCGTAATTTTTAATACAGATATTTTGACTTTTTATGTATTTTTGCCTTCTTACGAAGTGAGAACTGAATTAATTGAATGAGAAATACTCAATTGTCTGTGAAAAACTGTTTCTTTTTTGTTTTGTTTGCTTAATTTCTTTCATACATCATTCTAGCTTTATTATAGTATTTGAATAGAACATGTAGCAACGATTAGATAATTCTACTCTTTAAATGATATAAATTTTGTACATTATAAGTTATAATATGAACAAAACGTAATACTGTTAAGTGAATCTAGTCGGGGAAGTAGATTTAAAATCCAATAAGTTTAAATGAAATGCAGAAAAAAATGTGTATAATTTAATATTCCGTACAAGGAAGTCATGTGATGTACACATCAGATTTTTTTCCTTTGTATGTGTGTGTCTTTATAGCTTTATTATGAAGCATTGTTTTCTTCGCAATTACGCCACATACAGTTCAACATCAAAATCGCAAAATTTTTTTAAAAGCTGAATAGCAGCATATGTTTAGAACTCTAGATGCAGTGTTAAGTGTTGGCATATGTTTTTATAGTCTTTTCAATTTTTCCCCAGTTCTTTATATCAGTATCCAATTTTCTTAGTAAGATGGCTCACAATTTTTTTTTTTTTTTTTTTTTTTTTTTTTATATAATTAAGTTTTTGTATACTAAATTTATTATTTAAGTATCACGTCATCTAACTTACGGCACTAACTTGCACCATATAAAACTCAGTTCAACAGCAAAATCACAAAATATTTAAAAACAGTATATTTATATTCGCTGTATTATTTTTTTTTTTAAACTAGCCACTCATACTTCCAGCCACATAATATAGTTATCATAAAAAAGAATAATAATTTTAATGAGTCAGCTAATATAATTTCATAAAAAATACTGACTACTTCTAATTAAGCATGTCATGATTTCAATCATGTTTACTTAAATAAATCATATCAGAAACTAATAAAAAAATGTTCTTAAGAACTGAACTTGTTGCTTTTAAAACGCTTAGTTTATTATTCAGTAACCTTCCTGATTAAATATGAAAGTATCTTAGGCTTTTCTGAATAGCAACATGGTGAGGCGTGGAAGACAAAAGAGTTTTACTTCTAGCAGTGGCAACAGATTGCTTTCACAGAGACGACTTTGTTAATTAAAACTGAAAGCTAAATAAATATCTTACATTCGTGCACATGTTTGGGTGAAGGAATACGTTATTCAAAATTTAATGGCTCTAGGTACCATCGCTTTCTTAAAATGTGAGAAACATACATTCATACATACAGAATCTTCATTATTTAATTTCTTTAAAAATAATACTGGGCGATAATATTTGACAGCAACAATTTGATAAGGGATTGCCGTTTATATGAACCAAAGCAAGCATGTAACTGTAACTGTAAAATCATTCAATTTATGAATTTTAATTTTAAGTTTAATACTAGGACTGATTTTTGAGTGGTTAAGGAATGCCAGTACATTTATATATGAACAAAATTAAACTCTTGAAATTATACGTTTTAAAATTGAGAACTGCAAATATATACCATAATTTCTCTTTTATTTTTGAAAAATTCATTCCAAATTAAGTATCAGATCATGCCTAGTTACTCTTTGATTTATATCATCAAAAGTCGTTATTTGGACACCCATAATTCGGAATGATCTATAATCCGGACCCAAATCTACAAACTTTCGCACTCGTCGCTTTTGACGCTTCGCGTAAGACCTTTACGGCTGCAATATGCGTGTGCGCATGCGCATAATATGTTTACGCAAGCGCTTTTAAGTATAACAGACGGGATAAGCTAACTAAAAATCTAATTATCTATTAGTTATGTTGCAGATTGCGTTGTTCCTTAATCTTCGAATTGGATCCGGATTATTATTTTTTGGCAGACTGTTAGAGCATTTTATAAAAGTAAGCTTGAACTTTCGATTATGTCAATAGAATTTCCGATATATATTTACTATGTAAAAGATCTACAAAGCGAAAGTATGTTTCGAAGTCCATTAAAACCAAAAGTGGAATTGCTGCAAAAATGGATAAAGGCATATCCTTTGATTAATCTAATCATTCTAAATGGAATAATTCACCGCCTTGGGGGAAGAACGACACCGTCAGAATGGAATGATCTACGAAATGCTTATTCTGAGCAGATTTTTTATTTTATTTTTTAATTCTAAAAGTATATTTCATTGAGAGATTTGAAATTTAAAAAATTTTTCAATAAGCTTCCGATAGTGAAGAAAGTGACAGAGCGGTTATTGAAAATGAAAAAATTTCGATTTATAAGTTAGTTGGTATTCTCCACACAGCAATTACAGGACTTGAACAGTGGAACTTTGTAACTGAACAAGAAATTATGTCTGTTTATAGAATTAAAAAGAAAGTATGAGCACAAAAAAATAAAGCAACTTAAACAACTTACATTGAAAGAAAGGTTTAATAAAAAAAAAACAAATATTTTTTTTTTTATATTTTGATCTTTTTATTTTTCTCTTTATTTCATATTTTAATTTATTTTTTCCATGCATCTTACAATTTAAACTGATGATCTAAATCCGGAATCGCCGAGTGAGGCGTAACGACTTGACTGTACTTCAATATATCTATTGAATTCGATATAACGAAATATATAGAAACAAATAATACACAAAATTACATAAATATAAAATAATACCAGTTTAATAAAAATTATCGTACTTGTTTTCAGGCATCTGGTAATTTAATTCTTGTAATTTTATGCCTTGTTACCATATTTTGTTCCATTCATATATGCCTATATATATATATATAATTTATTGATTCCATATTAACTAATATGTATATAACCAAAAATTGCATCAATAATGTATTTCTCAGTATGATTAACTTCATTCTTAAGAATTTTCTGCAGTCTAGTTTGCGTTATTTTATAAGTCTCGAATCAAAAACAATTAAACAGGGCGTTAGAAAATTAACCAAACAGTAGCCACCCTCAATGTATTTGTAATTTGGTAAACTGTCCTTAAACGTGAAAAGATTGAAAGACATTTGAGTTACGACTATTTTCTCAGATACTCAGATATTTCGTATATATGTATTACATATATAACATAGCATTCGAAATGCAAAACTCAATATTTGCACTACAAGCTGCCCAGTCGGTATAGTGGTCAGTGAAGCTGACTGCGATGCCGAAGGGCCTGGGTTCGAATCCCGGAGAAGGCATGGCTGTAACTGTCCGTCCCTTCATAGGATAGGCGATGGTGGCCTACCTATTAGGTGCCTCCATAATAAAGAGACCACCACATCTGGCCTTGTATAGATTAATGGACTGGGTTACATTTGTAATTGTTCACAATCTGCCATTGGAAAAAAAAAAAAAAAATTTTGCACTACAAATCCATTGAAGTAACAAATACGTGTCTTTCTACTCCTATGTTTTTAAGAAAAGATGTTACTTGCCTTACAGTTTATCATTCAATAATCCATTTTCATAGTAAACAAATTGCATTCATTCAAAGAATTCAATTTGTTTTCTTATTTTCGTCTCTATAAAACGGAATGTAGAGAAGTTAGATTAAACGACCCTCACATTTTCCCACGACACCGAAGAGCTCAGTCTTCCCTTTTTCAACATTCCCCGTGTTTAGGGTCGTTTGTAATTTATGACTTGACCACATTTGATCAGTATTCATTTAAGCCACCGTCCGAATACCGTTAATTTGTTGTAATTTCACATCGCTCTTCTCGTTTCTGAAGTTATTCCAGCTAAACCTCGGCTCATCTCTAATTAGAAGTACGCATATTTAAAACATAACTAATACAAATGGGTAAAAAAAGTCTTCTTAAGATAAAACATTTATGAAAAATTTCAGAGAAAAGCTTTATAAGAAGCTTTTAGGTAATATTCTTATTTGGCCTATATTATTGTATGAAAAGTTTCCATTGGGTTTCTGCATCTCTCAAGAAAAAAAAAAAAAAAAAAAAAAAAAGGTTCATTGTTTATGTAAAATAGCTGATTGTTTTCTGTCCCCTTTATATTTTCGCTGATTTGGAAAGTGAATATATAAATAGTTAGATTTTAAGAAAAACATGCTAAAAATGTTAACACAGTGGACGCTTGTTATAACGGCCGCTCTATTCCAATGACCAATATGAAACACCTACAATTGATGACAGTCTAATTTAGGTAAATTTCGCAATAACTATCATTCGTTATAACATATCTTTTCTTCTGTGCGATGTAAAAAGTTCAAATATATTTACATATCAATAGCTTATGAATCATATTGAATATGATTTTCTTATGAGTTTAAAAATAATTAAGCAATGATTAAGCAAAATAATTAAGCAAAAAGATATTTTTATCTTTTTTAAAATTTTCTTCTGGAATGAACCATTATCATGAGATATAGTAAATAAATGAATTGTATAACCAAGTGTTAATACACGAATTGATGCGTAAAATCTACAATGCCCAAAAGAAGTAGTCATTTTTTCCTTGGCCAACTGACTCTTTTCTTATACGACAAAATTTGACATGTGGCTGCAGTATAAAATCACTTCCTGAAACTAGAATTTCCGCGAATTCTAGTGGACTTCACGGGCCTGACTTCCTGTATCGAATTCGAGAGGTCCGTGGTTCGATTTCGGGCGGGGGCAAGTCTCCTGCTTCCAAAAAATACCTAATGTCTCTACAACTTGAAACTATCCTCCAGAGGGGAATCAAAACTAAAGCATACAGCCTCTTTTTTTTTCGGGGGGGGGGGGGTATTCAGTGCAACACTGAATTCAGCTGTTATATCTGCTTGCAAGGACCCCTATCTGCATCATATATATATATATATATACATACATATAAATGGTTTCAGCAGGACATTCAAGGGCCCCTTATGCCTTCGGGCCCCTATGCGACGGCATTCCTTGCATACCCTTATTTACGCCACTGACCATAACTGTATATATAAGTGTATTTTTATTTGAATGAATAATCTGCACCCTTAACTTTTGTTTCTTTTTTTTTTTTTAAGGGGGGGGGAGATGTACAGTTTAGGCAAATGAGAATATAGTATTTTTGCGAGAAATTTCGATTTATTAAATTGTGTATATTAATTCATTTAAATTGCATTTTATTTAGATGACTGACAGGGGTCTTAAGCCTACTCCAGCAACTTTAACTGGATTGTTTAACTCTTGTGCTGAAAGTCCTTTTCCAGAATATGGTTTACATAAAGCTCGTCTCTTAAAAGAAAAGATTGAATTGAAAAATTGGGAGCTGAATCAAATTACATATCATTCAATGATAAAAGCTTTTGGAAAATGTGGTGATATACAAACAGCATTTCAGGTGAAAGCTATTTTTATACTCTTTCAGTTTTCATTTATCTAAATATTAAAAAATGATAATAGTATTGAAAATTTTATTATATTTCATAGCTTTATAGTTTATGTTTGCAAAATGAAAGAAATTTGTTATTTTGTTGCATTATATAATCTTACCATCGCTCAGGTATGCATGTTCAATATGCATATTAAATTATGTATTTAACGTACAATTAAATTCCATAATTAACTGGCTGGAATATTTTCATAACACATTCATCCATGTCTGTGTATTTCAAGAAAGCAGGTATAATAAAAACATAAACATTATGTTTTACTTTAACAGCATAATGGAAAAGAGAGATTATTTTTTAATTGTTTAATTTGAAATAATTTATGAAATTGTCAAAAGAAAATATTTAATAATTTCAATTGTTTTAACATTAAATATATGTTGATATATTTGATATAAAAAAACTCCCAGTTCTTCTACAGTATTCTGAATTTATTTTTGTGTAACTTAATGTTCATTATGCATTTTCAAGATGAAATATACTTATATACATTATTATAAATTGTTAATACCATGTTTCCTGAAAATAAGACCCAATCTTATAATTTTTGTTGCAAGAGACATGCTAGGACTTATTGTTATTTATTGTCATGGGATGTTGTATTTATTCATGCAATGTCTTACTTTTCATTCAACAATTAACATTTGTTCACGTTCAAGAAATGCTTTTCTTCAGGTTCTAGTAATACATTTATTCAAATTCAAGAAATGGTAAAAAATGAACAATATCTAATACAGCTATGTTGTCTTCTTCTGGAACATTATCATAAAGATGCAAATCACGAATTTCAGGCTGAATTTTTTGCGACTCTATGTCCTCTAAAATTATTGGCCCTAACCTCGTATGTTGAGCAATAGAGCTCTCCTTATGAGCTCTTCTTGTCCATGTAGTCTACTCATAGGACATTGGCAACACAGCTGTCCATTATTCTATACCATGCATTCTTCACCCAAGTAACAACTTCTTGTAACTTAGGCTTCACAAAATTTCCTCATTGAATTTTCTCCATTCTATTTTCAGTGCATTGATTGATTTCTGTGTGCAAATAGTTTTTAAATTGCTTATTTATATCAATATCAAGAGATTTGAAATATGCAGTTATTCCTGCAGGAATCATTATTTGATCAATTCTTTCTGCAAGGAAGTTCTTCATGTTTGACCCACTTTCTTATTGCTGCTTGTGTGTACCAATTTTTTTCAACCTGAAACACATTTGATTTCCTTATTCTTGCCCTAGAGATGATTATAGGAGGGATTCTTTCCATCAAGACAAATTGCCAAAACACACATAATGCGTGTACTTCCGTAATCAGTGGCAGAATTGTATATTGCAGAGGTATCTATTTAATCAATAATAGTTTCAAATCCTTGACCCACATATACTGCAGTTTCATCCACAGTAATCGTGTTCAAGAGCTGGTCTTAGAGAAGTCAGTGCCTTCAGTGAAACATTTGAATGCAAGTGCTAGTTTAATCACTTCAATATCTTCCAATTTGAACAGTGTTGTCGATCTTCCTGGAGACAGATCATTTTGCTGAAGGAAGCCATCCACCCAGTGTTGTGATGCTTTGAATTCATTTGGTGATAATTATTGCTGCGATGTCATTGCAAGGGCTAATGCTTAAATAGCAGCCCTGTGAACTACCAAACACCTTACTTTTCTATCAGCAGTCTATTCACAAATGTGTACTCTGATTGCAATTTTCAGACCATTTATAGATCCAACTTCTCTTTGCAGAAAGCTGTAAGATTTCTAACCCTAGAATCTTCCATAATTTTTTCTTGTACTCTACAGAGTAGCTCTTTCTTTTGCACTCATTTTATCTGATCTTCAAAATGTATCATACTTTAAATTTATTATTAAATCAAATACTAAACATCTATTGCTAATGCAACATATTGAATACTGAAGATTTTATTGTGTCACAGCCACATCCATTAGTTTCCAATGTAAATGCGTGTTGTGTCTTCACTTAGTCATTTGGCAATAAAATGCTTGTCTGGCTGGTAATCTTAACTAGGGCTTATGTTAGGAATGCTCTTAAAAATCATGCTAGGACTTATTTTTTTGTTAGGTCTTATTTTTGGGGAATACAGTATATTATTTCCTCTGCCATTCATGCCAATAATTTTCTTTTCTTTTATAGATTGTTGATGAAATGGTAAAAGCTGATATAAAAATTGATGCAGCTACATACAATTTTTTACTAATGAGTTGTATTGCTAATAAGGAAGCTGGATTTACATATGCAATAGAGGTACATTATAAAATAATTTTACTTGACATTATGCTAATTGTTTTAATGTATCTGTACTTTGCATTTTTATAATTTGTTACAATGTAAGTGTTAATATTTTTAACTGAATTTCTATAGTTTATATTTTAATCTTTAATGATCACTTATTAGTTGGAAATACCTTAGCCTCTATTTGTGCTCATTAAGGTTAGCTTCTTCATTTCTTTACAGATCATTAAATTGATCAGTCCTATTTTTTTCATCAGTTAGCATCAGATTATATTCATCAATTAATAATTTTGTTTCTTTGCAGTGTTTTCTTCTGCTTGGGTAAATTTCTTTTTATTTAGATTAGATATTTATATATTAAGGAAATCATCATAGATGTTGCCAAAATACAGAATATGCTATATTCTAGAAACGATGTGCATGACAATCCTTCAATTTTAATGAGTAATTTCATCATTTCCATATGTGTTCCTTCTGTTATATTCCAAGTTCCTATGGTTTTATAACAAGTTGTGGTATTTTTTGTATTAAACTTTATGTGCTTATGGGATTTGCCTGCACTGGAAAAAATTGTGATAAAAATTATGCAGAAATATGGTATTTTACTGCAAAATCACTAAAGAGAACTTCCGACTAAAATAAGAGAAAAGCAGCTTATGGTTAATTCTCAGACTAAATTTCTAATTAAAATGTAAAATATATATTAATGGGTGTGTATGTAATAAATATTTTTTGACTTATAAATCATCATTCTTTTCCCTCTATAAAAAATTTCCAAATTACTTCATAGTGGTTGCACTAATACACAAGTGCCTTGGATTACACAAGTCTTAATTCTTAGACATTGCTTAACAATATTTACTTAAAAAGTATAAATGACTTCTCTTCAGTGAATAAAAACTAATATAGTTAATGATTAAAGTAGTTGTCAATGCAAAGAAGTTAACACTTTGAAAACTGTTAAATAATTTTTAGATTGAAACCAAGTCCAATAAAATATTTCTTTTCAAAACATTATTAAAACAGAATCATTTATTTGAAATAAATCATCTTAATAGCTGTCTCTTTCAAATAAATAATATGATTACGTTTTCCCTTTAATAGTTATTTCTGAATTCTGTTAAACTGAAATATCAAATACTGTGTAGTATATCTCAGAGAAAATTCAATCATGTATTACTTCAATATCTTAGTTATATATATGAAGATTAAAACAATGGCACTTTATGAAGCTAACAAATTTGCATTGTTTGGGAATTATGCTTCCTTTTATCATTAAGTTCAAACTATATTAAGTTTTGTGTCAACATTTTACAGCATATGATGATAAATAAATCCTGTATAAGAAATAAGAAAGGACAGGAAAGTAGTTAAATATTGATGTAATTAAACTGAAATAAAATTCAAAATAGTTTCCTAAAGTAACCTTTCACCAAAGGAAGTTCAGTGTACAATAAATGCTGAAAATGTGATGCTTATTCTTGCTACTAAAATAATAACTTTAGCCATGTATTGAAAGAACTTGAAATAATGTCAGAAAATTTTCATTGGCCATCTACAATCAAATCTGCTGTGAGAAACTGAAACAAAAATTAAGTTTCTATGTGAAATATGATATTATTTTTTAGGGGGTGGAATGCAGCTGATGTTTGCAAATATTAAATTTCATGTAAAAATAAATACTCAGGAATTTCACTGTTAATGTTTGGCTTTTCTACATATATATTAATTATTGCTCAAGGATATTATTTTAAATATTTTTGATTAAAATTTTTAGTAATTAATTATGTTTAAAAAAATATTGTAAACAGGTAAAATTTTTTACCATAAGCATCCAGTGATAATATAGCTCCATTACTGCTGTCATCAGATTCAGTATCAGTAATACAAAAAACTCATATATTTCAACTACTTGCTGAATTCACTAGAATTATGATCAACATCTAAAATGTTTATGTCATTTAATTTTCATAATTTATAGAAAACGAATAACTAGCAAACTCTTCTTTAAAGTAAAAAAAAAAAAAAAAACTATATATAATTTTTTCTATAAAATATGAAACATAGGATTTTTCGCCAACTATGATATATGAGTTATTTCTTGACCTACTCAGTTTGTAACTTGTCTAAGATTTCAGCATTCTAACATCAGAGGTGCAAAAAATAGGAATAAATACCTCTTCTATGATACTGAATAGAGCGACTGATAAAGAGTTAAGGTAAATCGATAAAATTAATATGAACAAAAATTTGAATGTTTTATTTCATCATAAAAAAGGTGGATATTTCATATGTGATGAACTTGTGCCACTAAGGTACAAGTAATTATTTGTACACTGTTTTTATCTTTGTTATTAGTATCTGAATTTTTTTTTTTTTTTTAAAAAAAAAAAAAAGAGATAGATAGAGATGATGTGGAAATGTTATCAATGTTCCTAGAATTGATAGTTAAGAGTGATTGACTGTAAATGAAAAATCAAGGTAGACAATGTGCTATTCTTGATTTAAAAATATATATTAATGGTTAGTTCTCTACAAAATGATTATAAAACTTTATAAACATCTATGTATTCATTAATATAGATATTATTAACTTATGTTACTGTAATGGAACAACATATTTTCTTGGTAGGAAACCATAGTCCAGTATTTTTAAGAAATATGTAATTGAAATTGTTACCATTAAAATATGAGAGAATGTTATTTTAGAAATTCTTACATTTAAGTTTCATCACTTGCAACAGCTACTTGAAATAAATTTCAATAAGAAGGTGATAATTATATTTTGAAGTACCAAAAACAGCTATGATTTTGAAATAAATCATAGTTTAAATATTTTATTTTCAATTTTTTTACTAATAATTTAGACCCATGGAAGTGCTTCTGCAAAAAATTTTTTCTTTTCTTCTTTTTGAAGTGAGGTGAGAAGTTGAAGGTATTACTTTTCATCTCGTTGTCAGTTGTCTTATTATTTTTTTTACATAATTTAGTATCTTTTAGTTTATCTATATCTATATACAGTCAAAAGTCGTTAATTCGGACACCCATAATCCGGAATGATCTATAATCCGGACCTCAAATCTACAAACGTTCTGCGCATGCGTCAAAGAGACGCACGGCTTTACGGCTGCGAATTTGCATGTGCACGTGCGCAAAATACGTTTACGAATGCACGTTTAATGTATAACGGACGGTGTAAGCTAAGCTAAAATTATCTATTTCAGTTAATGTTGCAGTTTGCGTTGTTCCTTAATCTTCGAATTGGATCCGGCTTATTATTTTTTGCAGACTGTTAGAGCAATTTTATAAAAGTAAGCTTGAACTTTCCATTATGTCAAATAGAATTTCCGATATATATTTAATATGTAAAGGATCTACAAAGCGAAAGAATGTTTCGGAGTCCATTAAACAAAAAGTGGAATAGCTGCAAAAAATGAATAAACGCATATCCTTTGTTTATCTAAACTTTAACGTTTGTTTATCTAAACTTTGTTTATCTTTAACGCCACAGCGCGCGCAATGAATTGGAAGTTGATCTGTCAGCACTATCCTTATCTTCAGGGCAGATGTTTTTATTTTATTTGGCTTATAATTGCTTACTAAATGTAGTATTTCATTTCGATGTACTCCGTCTTTGATATGATTTAAATCAAATGCCTCGTCATTATAATTCGCTTCCGATAGCGAAGAAAGTGACAGAGGTTATTGAAAACGAAAAAATTTTGATTGACAAATTAGTCCGTATTCTCGACACAGCAATTATAGATTATAGGACTTGAACAGCGGAACTTTGTAACTGAACAAAATATTATATCTGTTTATAGAATTAAAGAGAATGTATTATCACATAAAAAACGAAGCAACTTAAACAACTTACATTGAAAGAAATGTTTAGTAAAGTAAACAAATAAATATTAAGCTTTTTTTTTTTTTTTGTAAATTTTGATCATAATTCTTCTTTATTTCGTAAATTATGGTTTCATATTTTTAATTTTATAATTTCTGCATGCCATTTTACCAGATTTAAACTGATGATCTATAATCCGGAAAAATCGATAATCCGGAATCGCCGAAGTCCCGATGAGCCCGGATTAACGACTTTTGACTGTATATATATATATATATATATATATATATAATGACTGTGTTTCTTTCAAATATCATGCTTTGATGTGATGTTTATTTATATATTTCTAAAATAATTATTTTGGGTATTTCAGGTTTGGCGAAAAATGAAAGCAAGGAAGTGTACACCAAATCTATATTCATATAATTTATTGCTTAGAACAGTCAGGGATTGTGGTGTTGGACCTGAGGAAGTATCTTGTCTTTTGTTGCAGCACTGGAGTAGTTACTCAAAACGGCCATACGGATTTATAAGAAAAGAAAGTGTATCAAAAGAAGAGCCAGTGCTGCACTTAGTTAGTGGAGACAGTTCTATAAATAATGATAAAACACAGCATCATCAAAATCAAAGTACTGAGTGCCAAGCAGAACATCCTCATGATCAAAGTATTAATTACAAAACAGAGCAAATTCATAATCAAAGCACTGACTACAGAACAGATCTTTACAAACAAAGTACTGAATGCAAAGCAGAACATCTCCATAATCATAGTGCCGAATACATAACCAAAGCAACTGAAGAAACATTAGATACTAGACTAAAAACTGTTTCAAATAAAAATAATTTAGAATTAATGCAAAATATTTTTCCAAGTTTACTTGCATTAAGGCCAGTTAATGGCCCTGAAATTTTAGAAATTTCAAATATTAATACTCCTTATGATAAGTAAGTTTTTAACTAAAACCATTAATTCTTTCCATTTATTGATTGTAGTATATGACTGAATGTTGTTGTAATACTTTAAAATATATGTTCAAAATATTTCTTAAAAATTTAATATAAGAAATTATAATTTAAACTATGATGATACAGCATTGGTTTAATTATGTTAAATGGTTATATTACAGGATGTATTTTCTTTTGACATGCCTTTCTTAATCTAAAGATTTGAGGACTGTGTTGTCCTGTGTCTTCTCTGATTTTATATACAAGCCCCTTTTCTTCCTTTCAAAATGCCTTAAATTCATATTTATCTTTCATATAAGATCATCTTATGTTTTGACCACTATGATACTGCTAAAGAGATTTGCCATCTTTTGAATGCATTGCATATTAAATTTTAAAAAGGTTTGATCTTTCTTATTATAGAACAAAATTGTGTTTATGTTACTTTGATTGTTTCAATAGACAAAGAACAAATTGAATTACAGACTTTTAGATTTTTTATTGGTAATACTTATATAGAAATCAAGAACACTGCTATAAGAAAAAACAACATATTTAATTTAAAATGGTCTATAGAAAACAATGTTCACTAAGATCCGATTGTGGGTTTTTGTGTTTATTCTGATATCTTCATATTACTTCAGATAAATAAATATCAAATCAAGTACAACTAGTGCCTTGGTGTATGTACAGGGTGATCAGCGAATAAGCCCTGATTTCAAAATTAAATATCTCTACAACAAAGATCGATAGAATTATGCGGTAAACTGTATGTTTATTAGCAAAACTGTAAAAATGGGGTACAAAAGTTTAGAAAATTTAGTTACAAAAATCGGTAACAAATGGCGCTCTAATCGCAATGACCTATCAATAGCCTATAAAAATGTGCTTTGAAATCGAAAGTGATCAGTGCGACTGTTGGCTAGCGAAAAAAGGCTAGCGTAGAAAGTAAAATAATGTATTCCATTGAACAACGTGTTTTTTTTTTTTTTTTTTTTTGGTTCTGGAATTTCACCGATTAGAACACAGTCCTACGGCAACACGTTGCAGTTTTCAAAACCAATTCAATGTTCCAGTTGGACCCGATGCGAAAACCATTCGCATGCTCTTCGCAAAATTTGAATGGACTGGCAGCTTGGCTGATGATTGAAAGGGAAGTGTTGGGCCTAGGCAAACTGTAGTCACTTCTGAAAATGCAGCCAACATTTCTGGAATTGTTCAGCAAAATCCTAGGAAAAGCATCTGATGGATGGCATCAGACACAGGTTTGAAGTACAAAAGCATGGAAAAATATTAAAAAATAGCCTACGGCTGTTTCCATACAAAATCCAAAGTCATCAGGCCATACCTATGAAAGCTGTGCAACAAAGGGTTGACTTTGCGAATCAAATGCTAACAATGATCGACAATGACAGATTTGATGTGAGCTGCATCTGGTTCACAGATGAGGCCCATTTTCATTTGAATGGAGTCATTAATAAACAAAACTGGAGATTTTGGGGTACCGAAAATCCTCATTTGTGTGAAGAGAAAGCACTGCATTCGCCTAAAGTTACTGCATGGGCTGCAGTATGCGCCAGAGGCATTATCGGACCATTTTTCGTATGAGAAACGATAACTGCCGAACGTTACGTTACAATTTTGGAACAATTTGTCAGCACTCAATTAGCATTGGAGGATCTACCAGGTATCAACTGGTTCATGCAAAATGGGGCTCGACCACATCGAACAAATAAAGTTTTTCGCTTTCTTCATGAATACTTTGGAAATAGAGTAATTGTGTTAGATTATCCGCAATTTACTGGCACAGGAATAGCTTGGCCTCCATATTCTCCTGATTTGAGTCCTTGTGACTTCTTTCTGTGGGGTGCATTGAAAGACACTGTCTATCAAAACAATCCCGCTACTCTAGATGAGCTTGAATCGTTGATTGGTGTTGCATGTGATTCCATTTCCGTTGAAACATTGCAAGACGTGATGTCAAATTTCTGATGAAGTCTAACCTTAGGAATGGAGATAAATAAATAAGCAGGGATTCATCTAAATTAACATATATTGAAACACAAAATGGCACAAGTGCAGTAAATTCTACATGCTAAAGTAAAACAGTGACAACAACTAAAAAAAACGTTGCCAAGAGAAAAATATAAAAAGCATGTTGCCACACATGTTATAAAATACAAATGGGAAATATAATCACAAATAAAAGTTATTTGCAACACTCCCCCTTGATTAAATTTCCCTCAGTCCTACACAGAACCTTTGATTGAACAAGGCTTTCTTTTGCACATTCTTTGTGAACATGTCTGCTGCATTTGAACTGGAAGGCACATACGTAAAGTTTAACAACTTCTCTTCAACCTTTTCTCTCAAGAAAAAATGCCTGAGTTCAATATGTTTGTTACGCTCTGAAATGACATGGTTTTTGGCTAAAGAAATGGCACCCTGATTATCAACAAATATGCTTTGTGGAAGGTTTAAAAAATGTTGTCCCACAATGTCTTTAAAAAAATTTTGGAACCACAGTACTTCCTTGGCTGCGTTGCACATTGAGAGGTACTCAGCTTCAACTGTTGACAATGCAGTCGTCTGTTGTTTCTTACTGCTCCATGAGACAGCTCCACCTGCTAGTAGCACCACATAGCCACTAAATGATCGTCTGTCAATCTTATCACTAGCCCAATCAGAATCACAAAACACTCCCAAATTCTTTCCTGTCTTTTGGAAAGTCAGCTTGTTGAAAGTCCTTGGTCTGTTTTAGGTAACGAAGGATATGTTGTACACCAGCCCAATGTTCCTTGCTTGGGCAATTATTGAATTGGCTCATGTAAGTAGTAGCAAAAGCTAAATTTGGCCTTGTTCCTCCTGCTAGGTACAAGAGCCCTCCAACAGCCTGCCTATATTTTAATGCTCCTTCAGCATTCAACATGTTATCCTTAGTGGCTGTTGTATATTTCATACCTGGATCTAATGGTGTTGATGCTCCTTTAGCATCTTGCATATTGGTTGTTTCCAAACGAGTTCACTAGCATAGACACTTTGGTCAAGAGTCACACAGCTATCTTCCCTTTCTGCTTAAAGATCCTAATTGAAAGAAGGTGATGTATTTCTCCCAAGTCCTTGATTTTAAATGTAGGCTGCAATATTATCCTTAAATTCCTGAATGATGAATTCTTTGCTGGACATTACAAGAAGATCATCCACATACACACCTACAATTAACTCCTTTTCTTTATTGAAGTAAACACAAGGATCTGCTCTGGATCTTGTTAGGCTCGTTGATTTCATTCGAAATTTATCGAGGCACATATTCCATTCTCTCCCAGACTGATGAAGTCCATAAAGGCTTCTCTTTAGCAAGCAAACTTCTCTGTGTGTTTTCTCATGCAGACTCACGGGTGGCTGTTTCCATGAAAATTGTCTCACTCAATTCTTCCATTTAAATAGGCTGCAGTAATATCAAGTTGATGAACCTGCCAGTCTTGCTCAACTGAGAATGCTAATAAAGTTCTAATTGATTTTGTTTTTTATTACAGGAGAAAACGTCTCTTTGTAGTCAATTCCTTCGACTTGGGTGTAGCCACGAGCAACTAAACGAGCTTTATATCTTTCCACTTGTCCATCTTTGTTAAGTTTTCTCTTGAAACCCACTTACATTTCACAACTTTCCTTCCCTCTGGCCTAGGCACTATGTCCCAAGTTTCATTTCGTTTTAAATTTTCCAACTCTTCTTCCATGGCTAACTTCCATTTTTCTGCATCTGGACTAGTTAATGCCTCTTCTAAAGTTTCAGGATCATCATTCTGGAAAGCTTTCTTGGGTGTTGAGCCTTCATATTTCTGTTTCTCGGATTGTCAGCTGCACTGCATTCCACTTGTAATTCCATTTATTTCTGGAGGATTTTCTTCATAAATCTCTGAATTTTCCATGATATAATCCTTTGTCCACTTAGGCGCTGAAATTTGTCTTCTGGGTCGAGTCTCCTTTTCTGGTATATCCTCCACCTTCCTTCTTTCCTGTTGAGGGCCTTCGTCTATTACTTTATTTTCAACTTCATCATCTTGAGATGAATTTCTTCCAGAAACTTGTTGTGGGTGCAATGTTATAATGTTTCCAGTCATGGAAGGTTTCTCTTCAAATATGACATCTCGGGAACAGATTACTGTACTGGTTTCTTTGATGTAAATGCGGTACCTTTCATCTCCATCATACCCAAGGAGATAGCCTTTAGTTGCCCTTTTGTCCATCTTTCTCCTCTTCTGAACTGGGATATGAGTATAGCAAGTCGATCCAATGATGCGCATGTGTTTTATTCTGGGTTTCTTTCCCATCCATAATTCATAAGGGCTTGAATTAGGAACTGAAGACTTGCCTGTCCTATTCAATATATAAATTGAAGTACTGACGAACTCTGCCCATAGGAAAGCTGGAAAGTCCACTTCCTCATTCGAGTATTTGAGAGTTCTGGCCATTTCTAGGACTGTTCTGTTCTCTCGTTCAGCACTGCCATTTTGTTCTGGTGCATATGGAGCTGTGAGCCTCTGGGAGATTCCATGCTTGTTCAAGATCTTGCGAACGGCTTGGTTGTTAAATTCTCCACCATTGTCACTGAGCATTTCTTTAACCGTATGCCCTAAGTTCTTAGCGTGAGCTATGAAATTTTCAAGCACATCTTTTACTTCTGATTTGTGCTTTAAGAAAAAACAGTATCGAAATTTGGTGTAGGCATCTTTGAAGATTGCAAAGTAACGGTATTTCCTAAATGACTGATCAAATGGCCCCACAAATATCTGTCGAGAACAATTCTCCAGCTTTTGTAACCGCTTTCCTGGTTCCAAACTTTAAACGGTGGGATTTTCCGTATACACAAGCTTCACATAATTTCATATCAGACTTAATCTTAATATTCAACTCTTTCTCTACAATGGCCTTTACATGCTTTTTATCTTGGTGACCCCATCGTTCATGATAAAGTTGGAGAGTTGATTCATTATTCTCAGTCATGTTGATGTCAATGTGAGTTT